TGAAGTAAACCCATGTTGTCTCTGATCTTGAAATCCATGTGTTTTTAGATGTTCATCAATCCTATCCTTTAACATGGTTTCCATCACTTTCCCCACTACTGAAGTAAGGCTTACTGGCCTATAGTTGCCGACTCCTCCCTATTACCTTTCTTGTAAATGGGCACAACATTCGCTAACTTCCAATCTTCTGGGACTACTCCTGTTAACAATGATTGGTTAAATAAATCTGTTAATGGTTTTGCTAGTACACCACTAAGCTCTTTTAATAGCTTTGGGTGTATTCCATCAGGTCCCATTGACTTATTTGTCTTTACTTTTGACAGTTGAAATAGAACCTCTTCCTCTGTAAACTCACGTGTAATAAATGACTCATTTATCCTTTTTCTCAACTGAGGTCCCTTTCCTTCATTTTCTTCTGTAAATACAGAACAAAATATTCATTGAGGCAGTCAGCCTGACCTTTATCCTCTTCTACATACCTTCCTTCTTTTGTTTTTAATCTAACTAATCCTTGTTTTACTTTTCTTTTCTCATTTATGTATCTAAAAATGTTTTATCCCCCTTTTTTACTGACTGTGCTATTTTCTCTTCTGTGTGTGATTTGGAAGCTCTTATAACTTGCTTAGCCTCTTTCTGCCTAATCTTATAGATCATTTTGTCTCCCTCACTCTGGGTTTTTTTATAATTCCTAAATGCTAACTTTTTGTTTTTAACTATTTTGGCCACATCTGCGGAGTACCACAGTGGTTTCTTGAATTTTTTGCTTTTACTGACAAGCCTAATGCAATTTTCTGTTGCCTTCAATAGTGCAACTTTTAAATAATCCCATTTTTCTTGGACTCCATTTAAATTGCTCCAGTCTGATAATGACTCCTCTACCCATATTCTAATTTTAGAAAAGTCTGTTTTTCTAAAGTCTAAAACTTTTGTTTTTGTGTGGTGTGACTCAGTCACTGTTCTTATATTAAACCACACTGACTGATGATCACTGGATCCTAAACTTTCACCTACAGTAACATCTGATACCAAATCTCCATTTGTTAACACTAAATCTAGTATGGCCTCTTTACGAGTTGGCTCCTCAACAACTTGTCAAGGCAAGATGGGTCAAAAGAAAACAAATAAACAGAGACTCAAGGAATAGATACAAAACAGTACTATGGAGTCTATTTTTATAAATACAATATTCGTAGTATTATGTCTGTACAATTAATGGGAATGTATAAAATACAAAGTGTACTTTTTACTTTGCATAGGTAGGATCATGGAATGAACATTCCTCTGAATTATAAGGGTTTAACCCCTTAAGGACACAACTTCTGGAATAAAAGGGAATCATGACGGAATATTTCCGTCATGTATCCTTAAGGGGTTAAAGCACAATTATTATTATTATTATTATATTTATATAGCGCCATCAAATTCCACAGCGCTTTACAGTGGGTGGACGAACAGACATGTAGTTGTAACCAGACAAGTTGAACACACAGGAACAGAGGGATTGAGGGCCCTGCTCAATGAGCTTACATGCTAGAGGGAGTGGAGTAATGTGACACAAAAGGTAAGGATAGTATTAGACTAGTGACAGTTGCAAGAGAGGAATCAGTCGGGAGCTATTAAAAGTTTTACACTTTTATGAAGTGTTTTTTTGTTTTTGTTTTTTTAATTCTTTATTCTATTGAGGCGTATAATAGCAAAGGTACAGAATGAAGAGAGGGAGATGATATGAATACGTACAAGCAGGGATTAATGCAGCTCAGTATGTATCACCTCAGGTAGTCGTCTACCTCTTTTTATATTGAGTAAATGGTTCGATTGCATACGCATTACTGTTTAGCAATAACATGAAACAATACAATAAGTAAAACAATACAATAAAGCTGGTACTGCACTTGTTAATAATATGTTTAGTGTGGCTGTGGTGTGCTAGTTGTTAAAACTTGTGAGAGCATTTAAACTGTTGTGTGCTAGAGCGATATTGAGAATATATGTCTTGTTAAGCTATTGTGTGTGTTAATCTAACCGGAGTAACAGTAGTATGTTTCATCGATACAAGAGTGTGAAGTGAGTTGTGCCTTACGTAAAAATATCTCAGTACATCAATTAGTGAGTGTATAAACATCAAGCTGGGCTTTATAATGCCTGGTGTTGTGTCAAGTTATATGATGTGCATGATGTCAGAGTGTTTGGGCATATACTGGCGTGTGGATAAATTTGCGCAAACTGTAGTTAACATGGTGGGCAGCCTCTGGGAACAAGTTGACGGTGGGCAGCAACTAAACAGTAGTTAAGTTAATTATGTCTAGCATTAGTTACGTGTCATCTATTGTCCATGCTGCGACTGGTGTAGTTGCTGGATATAGAGAGTCGTTATGGCGTCAGAGTCAGATGTGTCCTCCTGTTGCGGGTGAGGCAGGTTCAATTGGAGGCAAAGTGGAAGGCCCTTCAGCCTATGCCTATTGCATGGAAGTGTCTTTTAACTTTGTGGTGTGTCTTCCAGTCGGTGTCCTGAGTTGCGAGTCTTGGGGATGATCTCGGAGACTCTCTGCGCCATTGTAATTCCATACCATGCTTTATGTTGCTTATCGGGGGTGGGGTTCGTGGTCAGTAGTGTCGATTGTGTGTCTTATCACCTCCATCCCGTGTGCTCCGGGACTCATTGGTGGCCTGAGTCAGGCCCCCCACACCCACATTACTCGAGGAAGTCGCAGGCATAGTCGGAAGGTGTCGGATGCGAGGTTCTCCGCCTGGTGGGGACCGGGATGTCCCCCGCCTGTCTATAGGGGGGAGGGAGCATTTTTCCGCCACCTCCCGCAGTAGGCCCCATGCTGCTGTTGCAGTGCCCGGTTATCCCGGGTGTCGAGTTCGGCATCGTTGGGTTTGGACCGGTCTCCCCAGTCCAGTGGGCCCACTTGCAGAAGATTAGTGGCACTTTAGCCTGATTTAACTGCAGCTTTTGTGCTTGTTTGAGCGAGAGCTCATGCAGAGCACGTCTTCTTGGCTCGCTGGTTAGGTCCTGCCCGAGAAGTGGGTTTTTAATGATTTTTTGAAGGAGTGGAGACTGGGTGGGCATCTAACGGAGGAGGGAAGTGAGTTCCACAGGAACGGTGGAGCCCTAGAGAAGTCCTGAAGGCGAGCATCAGAGGTGGGAGTACAAACAGAAGATAGACGTAAGTCTTCGGCGATGCGTAAGCGCCTAGACGGGACATACTTGTGTATTAGTGAGGATAGATAGGTGGGAGCAGCATTATGTAGAGATTTGAAAGCAAGAACCAGAATTTCAAATTGAGCCAATGTAGGGACTGACAGAGGGGTGAGGCATGGGAGGTGCGGGCGGACAGGAAGATAAACCTTGCTGCCACATTCATTATGGACTGTAACAGCGCAAGTTGGGAACGCATAAGACCACTGAGACGTGGATTATAGTAGTTAAGGCGAGAAAGCACAATGGAATGGACCTGCACCTTAGTTGCATCTGGCGTTAAGTAGGGTCGGATGCATGCAATGTTTTTGAGATGGAAACGACAGGATTTTGCGATAGACTGAACATGAGGTGTGAAGGAGAGGTCGGAGTCAAAGAAAACACCTATAAATCCATTTTATTAATTTCACCGTGCAAACATGCAAACACAAATGTGCATTTCTATTAAAGTCTATATACAGATGGTCTGTACTATATTTTGTTATTTGGTTAAAGGTTATATGCAGAAAACTGAATTGAGGAAAACTGTCAATTAAATATATATATTTTTGCACACCATTTTTATGTTTGTTACGTAACATCCGGTGATGTCATGCCCTGTGATGTCCTGCATGTATAATTAATTAATCAAATTTAGGTTTACTCTAAATGTGTTATGTTAGTTTTCTATGGGTTATTCACACTACCAGTGAGAAAGACCTTGAGTTTATCCACACTGCTTCACCAAGCGTTGCATGTAAACTGATATGAGAAGCAGTCTTTATATTTAACACATCAAATATACATAACACAGTAATATCCTCATGTGCTATAATTAAATGGAGTTTATGATTTATGCTACAGTCTGCAAGCCGTTCAACATTTTTCTCCATAGAAACAGGAACCTGAGTTTGTAATCGGAAGCCAGAGGAGTGAGATAATTACCAATCAGATCGTCCTGTTTATAAGGTCATCTTAACTTTGAATTGACAGGAGTCCAAGCCCCAACAAGTGTGAATAAATGAATGGTATATAAATACATTTTATTATACTGCCCAGAGAACTGTAAAGTCACAACACCTGATATAGCAAATATCACAGATTGCCATGTGTAATGATGTGTAACAGAACAAGACTATTCTGAATATAAACCCCAACATCACAAAGAGGATTCCCAAAACAAACTGCAAAAGTGCTGTGGGTTTAATTCAGTAATTGACACATCCTTTACTGAGCAACTTCATGTTATTACAACCAATGGACTATTAGTATCGTGGACATATCAATGGGGTGCCTGCATGGGTATATTTGTGCTATGTAATATTTCTTATATATAAAGAAAATTTATGATAAATTAATTTAAAGACTTTTTTTTAACGATGTTATGTCTAAAACATATGGAATGACAGCAGATTATATCCCCTTCCCGTAGATGCTGTTATAACGTACAATTTCTGCCATTAACATGTAATTTAGACCAGGAACAATGTATCTTATTTGCACATTCTGATTTCTAAACATGTTTATTGTAGTTTAAAGACACATTACTGGGAGTATTATTGTTGTGGATCTCTGCTATACACTCAGACACACCTAACAATATGGAGCTCCTAGAAAAGGGGGACATTATAATAGAAAAGAGGGACAGAAGGATTTGGACACCAAATAAGGACTGTCCCTAAAAAGAGACACTTGAGAGGTATGTAACCACCTTGCTTCCTCGCATCAATCACCTACCAGGGCATGCAGACAGGTTTGCAAGCCGTTTTCTTTATTTTTATTTCTATGGTGTATTTCACCTTAAAAAAAAATAAAAGTACCGGATTTTGATTATTACCTATCTGGAGTCCCGTGTTCCATTGGCAGCTTCGCATTGGCGAGGAGGACTATTAGCCCCCCATATTATCAGGGGAGGCACCTTATGAATGCCCTTCTTTAACATCATCTTGTGAGTGCATTCATTTAAAGCGCACAATTTATTGTATATACTGTATCACACTATTTTGTTTTTGTATGTTCTCTCCATAGATTATACAGCCGTATCCCATTTGTGTTTGAGGTTTGCAAGCTAGCCTTTAACAAAGGAACTCTTAGCCCCCTTTGATAAAAATTCTCCAGGTCCAAGGGGGTTAACAAAACTGGGAATACTGAAAAGAACATATGGTTAATTAAAGTAACATAATCAGAAATATTTGTGTGCATATAAAGAGCTATTTATCACACCATCCAATGGCTAAATGAATTTTATAGGATACCACTGAAAAGGCCCAGATTGCTAGGTGGGCAACGTTAAGGTCCCAGGATGTTGCAGTAACTCCTGGAGTTCCCTAGTGGCATGAAGGATGATATTCGTTGCCAGGAGTTGTAATCCTCTTTCATATTCTGCATTATTTGTGATGTACCTGTACAATTTACAAGAGAAAGTCCTGGCAGTAGATTACTTTGTTGAAAAGTTTGAAACCTAAGAGGAACCAAGGCACAGTATTTTCATATCCAGAGTTCAGCAGACTTGATTGAGTCTTTGTTTATGGGTGCACAGGTATCTGTCATAAATGTGAAACTTTCAGACTGCAAAATAATGTTGTTTCTAATCTGATCGCTCAAACAACAGCTCCCCACCTTTCTGTTTCTGGAACTCATGGTGCAATACCATTGTTTGAACGTTACAGTAAGTGCTTATTTTTGGGGCGTTTGTCCATGGTGTAGTTTTGAGAGTCTGGAATAAATGTATTTCTCATTATTGGTTTGTGTGTCTCACACCCCCATAGTCCTGTCAATATATATCATCCATTAGAACTGAGTTTTTCATATAATGCAGGGCCCCACCTCAAGTTTCCTTCTAGATGGGTCAAGTACAATCAGATTATTTTTGTCTTGAAGTTCTCTAGAAAGCAGCAATGTTTTCTCCTTTCGCTTAGGTTTTGTGCTAGTGGTGAAGAGAACTGAAACAAAAAAAGTATTAATAAACAAGTAGATCCTAATATAATCAAAAAGTGTAACTAAATCCATTAGATATTATTGAAAATGGCCAAGAAAAGGTCATGAAGTTCTCTGTGGAAAGACTATACGTACCTTAGGTAGAAAACAGGTCTGATGGCTCCTTGGCTGACATAATCAGAATTAATTGTAGGAAAGCATTGGATTCCCTGAGATTGTCAATTCTGTATATCTCAGCCAAGAAGGCGAGCCAGGGGGTCTAGCCAAACTCTGTCCTGGCCAATCAACATCTCCTCATAGAGAAGCATTGAATCAATGAATCTCAATGAGGAAAGTTCAGTATCTCCATGCAGAGGGTGGAGACACTGAATGTCAGTGCTGCAAATATATATATAAACTTTTATAAGTTAGGTAGCTTTTTCCACATTAAATAAGCCATTTTAAAATAATAGATTATTAACTTTCCACAAAAATAAATGACATGATGTTGGAGAAATTGTGGGTTCAAGGTTTCCTATTATTTAATGTAGTGGCAGTCCCCTAGGGTGACCACTCAGCTCCTGGACTCCTTGAACTGATTAGTGATGTTCTGCATAAGCCTCAGAACCTGTGCCTCTGGATGTTTCTCCCGTCCACTCGATACCATAAAGGAAAAAAAGGTCTGTCAAAAATTTCTCAAAAACAAAACAAGGGATCCCTGAGTTGGTATTAGTATCTCAGTGACAAAGTGAAATGCGTCGGCTTATTGGGACTCATTTCTTAATCATTATTTAAGGAGGAAAACTGCTTGAATTTAGTAAACAAGTTGTTGTTTTTTTTATAGTTCTTACAATTATTTTGATTTACATTTTTAGTTGTTTAATAGCATTACGAATGCCATAATCTAATACGAAAGATCTGCAATAGACCATTTCACTATTGTAATTGCTGGTATAGAATAATCTTGAATAGTCAGAAGGCATTTTAAAAACAAATTCCACATCTTTATAACACTGTATTTGCAGTCTTGTTCTTTGTATCAACATACATTGTATTAGCACAGCAGCAATAGGTTTGAAGCAGACACTGAATAGGATATCCTATGTCACACAGTGTGCTCTGATGTCTACAATTCGTTAAACAACATTCCCACTGAAAATTTCTCTTGCCCTGGTGAGAAAATACAGACCCCGCTGTCGCCCTTGCTTTGTATGACTATGGGAAGCCAAGGCAGCCTTGACCTTGGCAGTAATTAAAAGACAGCAGGAAGTGGTGTCCTATCAGCCTGCAGTGTGTTCTAACCTCTAGCTAGCACAGATGAAGGACAACGTAAGATAAAATATAGAATAAGCCCATGAACATACCAGATTGGAATGCCTAATAGAACATTAATATCAAAATAGTGTGATTGCTAAGTTATATTTAAATATGAATCACAGTTGAACTTCGGGTGAGTGTATAAATAAATTTATATAGTTGAGGCAAGTACACAAGCACAATATATAGAATTTGCATATTTGATCAATGATTTATGAAAATCATGCATGGGCGTAGGAACCGAGGGGGGATGGGGGGGAAACACCCCCCCCCCAGCAAATCATGCGGGAGGGACAGGTTATAGAGAAATCCACCCCAGCTCCGCTGGCCGCGGGTGGCTCCATCAGGGAACCGCACGCACTGCAGACTGGGAAGGGGAGCACCTCCCCTTCCGCGCAGGAGTGCTGGGTGTCACGTGACTATCCGGCGCTCAGTCTGACACTGCGCCCGCCAGACGTCCAGAGGTCCCCCTGCTGTGTCAGGTAAAAGGGGGGGGACAACAGTTTGTAGGGGGGAGAGCAGAGCCGGTCACCTCTGAAAAGAAAAAAAAACAGCTGCCTGAGCATTTTTAGTGTTAATTAATGGAAGGGTTAAAGAAGGGGCGAGGGGGGAGGTAGAAAAATGAATGTAAGCGGTTAGGGAGGCTACTAATATGGATGGGGGAGAGGGGAGGAAGAAAAATAATTGGAATGGTTTAGGGGGGCTTCTAATATGGATGGAAGAGGTAGGGTGGGTTCTAATATGCATGGAAGGGGTTAGGGGGGTACTAAAATGCATGGAAGGGGTAGGGGGTTAATATGCATGGAAGGGGTAGGTGGGGTTCTTATGTGCATGGAAAGGGTAGGGGTGGTTCTAATATTCATGGAAGGGGTAGGGGTGGTTCTAATATTCATGGAAGGGATAGGTGGGGTTCTAATATAAATGGAAGGGGTAGAGACGGGTAGTAAAATGTATGGAATGCACTTCTGAAAGTGTCCCTGAATGGCATTTAGGAAATGTGGTCACCCTAAGTCAGGGGCAGTATTACACAATCTGTATATGTATAAAAAAATATAAAATGTTTGTGTCAAATGTCGAGCTAGGAATGTGCATTTTTTTTATTTTTTTTAAATACTTTTTAGAATAATGATACAGACATTTTATTTACATTTGTGATGATTCTTTTTTCCCCTCTATTTTCAAGGGACACTATAGTCACCAGAACCACAACGGCTTTTTAATGTAAGCACTGACATTTCATAAAAAGGCAGTATTTACATTACTGCTGAGGAATACCTCTAGTGGACACTCAGATGGCCACTAGCGGTGCGTCCTAGTTGAGACATGAATGCCACCCTATGAAGTATCTGCGCATGTGCGGCAAAGCTGCTCATGCGCACCAGGGAGCAATGATGCTTCTGAATAGAAGTGTTTTATTGCTCCCTGCTCGCACCCTCCTATTTCGTCATTTTGACGAAATAGGGGGCGCGGCATCAGGAGGATCCCGGCGCTGTATTTGTTTGGGTTCCTACGCCCATGAAATCATGTACAATTAATTGCAATTACCAAAGCCAAAAAAATAGAAAACGACTGCCATAATGCCCTCTAGAGGCTAGAATATTAATTACAGACAGGCTCAGCACAATAACCACTACAGCTTGTGGCAGTGCTTATGATAGAGGCAGGGTTATTCACTAAACAAGAATTTTAGCAAATTAAATCCTAATTGTAAAATTGAGAATACAATGGCTAAGCTGTGAGTATAGCGAAGTTGGAGAATTTTTCCAGAACAGATACTTTTTGCCTCAATTTAGCAATTTGCATTTAAATCAGATCTGTCACTTTCGAGAGTTTATGCATATTTTGCAAAGACCCCTAAAGGTGACATTTCTAGCAAGGGTCCAGTGGCAGGGGGATGAAGTGGAAGGTAGACTTTAATGACCTGAAGCTGTCCTGTGTAGTCTCGTACATTTTATTCCTGGAGGTCTTCTTCTACTCCCGGAGATTTATTTGCATGCACAAGAGCACAACACTGAGGTCTATGGAGGTTCTCGTAGGTTCACGGAAGTCTCCACCGACGATGCCTGTCAAACCTTAAAGGAACACTCTAAGCACCATAATCACTACACAATGCAGTAATGGTTATTGTGCCAGGATTGCCCTGTCACCCCACCCCAATGTAAGTAGTCAAACTATTTGCCATCAGTTTAAAAAATGTTTCCTGGCGTCTGCGTTGCATTGAGAGCAGGAAACTCCTGCGCAGAGCGATTAGCTTTCCTAAACTAAACCATGCCGTGCAGTGACCAGTGGTGTATCCTGGTTTTGTGCTGCCCTAGGCAGGACAAAACTCAGGTGCCCCCCCCACCCTACCTTCTAAATACACACACACACACACACAGTCAGACACACACACACAGTCAGACACACACACAGTCACACACAGTCAGACACAAACACACACAGTCAGACAAAAACACACACACACAGAGACAGACACAAACACACACACACACACAGTCAGACACACACAGTCAGACACAAACACACACACAGACACACACATACACAGTCAGACACACACACACAGTCAGACACACACACACAGTCAGACACAAACACACACACACAGTCAGACACAAACACACATGCAGACACAAACACACACACAGACACAAACACACACACACAGTCAAACACACACACAGTCAGACAAACACACACACAGACACACACACACACACACACAGTCAGATACACACACACAGTCAGACACAGACACACACACACACAGTCAGACACACACTGTCAGACACACACAGTCAGACACAAACACACACAGTCAGACACAAACACACACACAGACACAAACACACACACACAGTCAGACACACACACACACACAGACACACACAGTCAGACACACACACAATCAGGCACAAACACACACACACACACAGTCAGACACAAACACACACGCAGACACACACACACACACACACACACAGCCACACACACACACACACACAGACACAAACACACACACACACACACACACAGTCAGACACAAACAAACACACACACTCACATTAACACTTTTTTTTTATCCCCGCCAGCCTCCTTACCTTTGGGAGTGCTGGGGGCGGAGGGTTCTCTTTATCCCTGGGGTCCAGTGGCTGCCAGTCGGGGTCCAGTGGCTGCCAGTCGGGCTGAGGCTGGGAGCCGGAAGATGACGTCATATTCCGGCTCCCAGCCTCACTCTGCGGCGCGCGAGGGAGCTGAGCAGTCAGCTCAGAGGAAGAGCTCCCTCGCCAGCCGCCCGCCCAGCCCGGCATGTCAGTTAGCTGCGAGGCTAACTAGGCATTTGCCCTGGGCATTTGGGGGCGGCTTTTTTTGCCGCCCCCTGGAAAATGCCGCCCAAGGCAAATGCATTGTTTGCCTCGCGGCTATTACGTCCCTGGCAGTGACAGCTCATTGGCTGAGGACGTCAGTTGATCACTCTCAGTTAACGAGCTACGCCCTGAGCTGCCCAGCTAGCTCAGAGCAGAGTGCTTCTAACTCTCCGTTGAGCAGATTACTGGCACCTGGTGGACTTCAGGTAAATTGTCAAACTGTAGTTTCACTGCTTACATTGAGAGGCACCAGTGCACTCCTGGCCCCATAAATGCTACAGTGCGCTTTAGTGGTTATGGTGTATGGAGTGTTCTTTTAATTCCCAACCCTTCTTTACCTCAAATTATTCTTTTTTTTTTTTTTTTGTCAATTTGTTATCAATGCTTGTTCGGTAAGACAATAAACATTAATATAACATATACATTGATACAAAATATAACATTAGATAACATTCAATATAGTAATTTGTATGGGATCATGAGAACCAAGCATTAATATTTATACCATGAGAACCAAGCAGTTATGAGTGGAGCTATGACATGCATGTGAAGATTCAGATATATCCTTAGCTATAGTTACATGAGCAGGCTGGCTGCGGGATAGTCCCTAACCTTGGGGGTTGCGGGGGGAGGGGGGAAGGGGGTGAGTAGATGTGGAGCAGGATACCTACTAAAACGTGCTATGCCCATATCATCAGAGCTCCAGTGTAGGAGGTTACTTTTAGTGTGCAAAGCTTAAAAACAATAACGAGTGAACTCAAATAGGCTAACTAAGCAAAAAAAACTCAAAGCACTTTTAAAAACATTGCAATTCAAGTCCCGGATGTATGGGCCGAAGGGACTTAGGGTAGAAAAGGGACAATTTGAGATGGGTCCTAAACATGAATGCCCGGCTGTCCGTCAGATTCAGTCGGTGGAACGGATAAGCCCAGAGCCCTAAGGAGGGTCAGAGCTTCAGCAAGCATGGACATCTTGTGTACTATCCCGCTATGTGTGACCACAAGGAACCTTGGCAACATCCAACGGTACTCCTCTCCAGCAGCTCTCAATTGTCTTGTAACAGGATTCAGAGACCGCCTCCACTGGGTGAGGTCTTGCTAAAATGAAAGATCAGAGCCTTCAAAGGTAAGTGGTGTCTTGCCCTTCAGTACTGTTAGTAGAATTCTTTCATCTTGGGCTAGAGAGAAGCATACGATGACGTCACGTACTGCAGAGGTAGGTGCTCTTCCTGATTTCGGGAGATGGTATGTTCCATCCAAAGAAAACTTTTTGGCCTCGCTTGGTTAGCACAGAATGCGGTAGTGACTCAGGCGAGTGGGTCCCTGACAGGCGTCTGATACAGCCCGGCTTTCCAGCTTTGCCATTGATGCTGTGCAGATCTCCTGTGCTGCCATTGATACTGCAAGACTCTACTGTGCTGGCTGTGATTGCCGTTGGAGAAAGGCCCTGATGTCCCTTGACCCCGCAAGTATGTCATGTTGCGGCTTCTGAGACTTCCATTCTATGGCTGTGTCACGTTCGGGTTCTGGAATGTGAGGCTCAGCAGTCCAACCTAGTCCAGGTCTGGGGGTGGGTGGTAGGCCCCAGATCTGCGCTTTAGCCATATTGCCTTTGCGGTGTGGAAAAACAGCATAGGGTGTTGCAGTGAGGTATTCTGCAATGAGTTCTATGGGGTGACCGTGTTGATGAACAGCGTGGCCCCCAAATTACTTTTTTTTAGCGAGTTTTCTTAGGAGCGATGTGAAATGGCGTCTGCTCCCGTTCAAGGTCAGGCTCCGTTCCCTTCGCCATGCTCTATATTCTATGACAGAAATTTCACTTGAATAGATGCACAGTAACATGCATTCAATCATTCTCTATAAATGTACAAAATAAAGTCTTGCGCTCAAGCTCCCTCTACTCCTGATGGACATCAGCCCTAATACATACAATAAAGAAAAACAATTTAAAAAGTTACTTGCGCACTATCCCAAATCCCTTTGCATATTTAAATAACTGGTGGTTTTTAAGTATCGCTCCAATGGCCATTAAAGTGTAAGCTCACCTGTCATGTCAAGGCTAAACCTCTTTGGTGAGTCCTCCACTAACAATTCACCTTTAATTTTATTATTTCATGCACGACAGATAGCAGTGAAGGCATCTTTTCACATTAAATTGAATTGTTATTAAAGTGCTTCATATTCTAATCTAGTAGTCATGGAATTAGGTTCAAAAATAATATTTAAAGCACTACAAAACTACTTAAATAAAGATTGACTGCAAGTAAATAATTGATCCAATGGACAAAGAAATATGTCAAGAGAGTCGAGAATGGTGTGCCAGAAACCAGGAAAGTTTTATGCCTCTCTCTGTTCTGGATAGAACTCCCCTGCAGAGTACATGGTTGGATTTATAGCCGACCAATCACAATGAATCACTGGTCAAGCCTTGCTCCCACAACGTTTGCCCAGTCCCGACACAAATAACCTCCAAACTGTTGGTCCCCAACTGAATATTGCCCAACTGTGCAAATGAGAACAATGAGGAATGTCCAAATGGGGACATAATTTGTGTGGTCACCAGATACACTCACATTATAAAGCCAGCCAATCACATTGCAGAAGAAGCTGCTAAGAACGGGCAAGTTTGTAAAATATACTTGACATCTAAGATCTTTCCAAAAACATGAAATTGTAAGGAGAAAAGAGAGGCTATAAAATATTACTATATGGATTATTTCTCGCATTATGATATGATCTGCATGGTCGGTAAAATATTAGTAAATATCGTAAAATATAATAAAATGCACATCGCATCCAATTCACGTTGGGATGCAAAATTAAACAAAACAATTACGTTTTATTTATTTTATGCCTCCACAGTCAGTGCAGTGTGCACTCAAGTGGATCATTAACCTTTTTACAATGACCCGGTTTATTTCAAACCCATCTCTCCTGTAAGGGTTATTTCACCCCCTGACACACATGGTTAAATGCCTGTGTCCTCTCAATGGGTTTGTGAGAGGTTTTTTCAGTTCATTCACCTCTTGTGCAGGTCCCGTACAATCCTATATCCAGCAGAATGCTTGCCATTCTAGGGAGGCCCTTGTTGTAGAATGAGGCTTTGTGTTGGGAGATGTGAATAAAGTGGCGTGAGAGGGAGGAGGTTAAACTCCCAGAGAGGGGATTTAAATCAAATGTTCTCTGTTGCTTTTTGACTAATCCCTTCACCTCACTATTTGCACAGACAGAATTTTCTCCCTTCATCTCCTGCTTACCTCGGATTCCTTCCTTTTATCCTCATATCATATCACCCACACTATGGTGCTTATACTCTAAATACAGAATTTTAGTGAAACTGAAAGACAGAATATAGACAAACTGATTTGGGTAGAGGGGGCAATTGAGCTTTTAGGACTTGTTGTAAAAGCTTTTTTAAATAAATAATTGAATATGTTTGGATAAACTTTTACAATGATGTGATATTGGGAAAAATATTTTTAAAAATGTCTATCCAAAAAAATATAAAAATATTTGAAAAGCTCAACCAACAATAATAAAGTCAAGGCTTAAAAATGTAGATTCAAAGCCTTGATTTAATACGTTTTCTAAATGATTGAATAATGTTAGAAAAAACTTCCAAATTATTTACCTACAGAATCACTATTATCAGAAGTTTTGTAGATAGATCATTTGGAAAGATTTTTTGTAATAATATTGACTCTTTTGGAAAACTTATTAAATTGAAACCTATGTTTTCTATTAACTAAAATTCCTTGTGTTCCCATTTGCGTAGTTGGGAGATGTCCAGTAGGGGACATTAGTTTGGAAGACATTTGTGCGAGGAATGCGTAAGTGTCATGGACCAAAGCTTGACTAGTGATGCATTATTTGATTGGCTATAAATCAAGCCAAGAAGGCTTAAGAGGAGAGATATCCAAGACCAACAGATGCATATATATTTCCCTAGTTTCTGCCCCACAATCTTAGTCACATCTTGCCTGGAGTGTCCAAAGATTGTGGGGCAGAAACTAGGGAAATATATATGCATCTGTTTTGGATATCTCTCCTCTTAAGCCTTCTTGGCTTGATTTATAGCCAATCAAATAATGAACTCTAATAGTCACATCTTGCCTGGAGTGTCCAATTAGAGTTCCGCATTTGGTTTTGTCAAATCGCTCTTTGTCAGAAATTTGGGTGATTAGCAAATCGTCTGAGTTCTGTAATTTTTTAATCACAAACTATTTAATTCCCCTACTTTAACCCTTTGTGTCACTATACCCCACTCCCTCTAGCATGTAAGCTCATCGAGCAGGGTCCTCAACCCCCTCTGTTCCTGTACGTCAGTGGTCTGATCTCAATTATGTGTCTGTTAGTCCACCCATTGTACAGCGCTACGGAATTTGTTGGCACCATATAAATAATAATAATAATAATAACATGTGACGAATCACATTGTTTTTTTCCATACTGAAGGAGGATCACTCATGCTACAGACTGGAAGTGTGCAAAAGCTTAGTCCTTGTCAGGGTGGAAGGGGTGAGTGGATCGTCAATTGCCCACTGACTTTTTCCCTTAATTTTTGAAAAATACCCATTTTTAATTAAGATGCTTTCATTTCAGTGATTTTGCCCTCCATGGCTCAGCCTGCTACCTCCGTTAATGCAGCTGTTATATAAGCTGATAATAGGGCACTGTTATTTTCCCACACTAAAGGACAGTCACTCATGTGGAGTATGGATTGTTATTATTAAATGTATACATCTACATTCTAGTTGTATGGTAGCATAGGATATCTGTCCCCTAAATGCCAACTAGAAGCTACAAATGACGGGGGCTCACACGTCTGTCGGTAATGTCTATCATACCAGAAGGGAGCCACAGTGGCCTACACCGAAGGGCCTGAAAACCGACATCTCACGCTACAGACTGGATGTGAGAGAAAGTTTTGTTCTTAGGGTGAAAGAGCAAAAACAATCCATTCATAATAAATCTTTTTTGTTTAGGGAATAACCTTGTTAATATTTTTTAATACAGATATGATATAATATAATTTTGACAACTCACATTTGGCATAGAAAAAATGACTGATATATTGTTTTTGTATTGCAGTACAATAATGTACACCTTTTGTTACCTTTTTGGGAATGTGAACTGTTTTCCCAAATTATTTCCCTGAACAGAATTTGTCTGCAACAAAACACCATGTGGATGAAATTTGGTTCACTGGAACTAAAGTTGTCTATAGCTGAACTGGAGAATTTTGCCATATCAGCAAGTTTAGCTTAATTTTGCTACTCAGATTTCAATATGCTACAGTTTTGGGATTTAGAACTCCATTTAATATTTTCGGACAAGCTTTTCAAATGTTTCAAATCTGTAAGAACTTTCCAAATGAATTATCTACGAAAATGCTGAAATACTTTAATGATGACTTATGTAGATAAAACATTTGGAAGGTTTTTATAACAGCATTGAATCATTTGGAAAGCTTATTATATTGAGGCCTAGTGACGAAACAGTCTCATAGAATATCTGTAAAACATTTGAAGGAAAATAGGAGAATTGCCACCTATTACCTCTTGCAAGCCCAGGGCTAGCAGAGAATAAGGTAAATGTAATGCATAATCATTGGGAGTGCATGTTAAATACTGCTGATGTAAACCTTTGCAAAACAGGGTGATGTGAGGCAACCAAGAATGCCAAACAGACATTATCCTTTATTTCGATTTTTGTTCATTAAATATGGTATTTTAAGAAGCTTACCTTGATCTGTCCAGGGACAGAAACGAAATCTGCATTGGATGCTAAATTACACTTGTCCATTGCACAAAAGTGTTAACAGAGGCATAGATGGTGTTACCAAGTAAGCTGCTTATGCAGATTCTTCAGAATTCTTTTGATCCAGAGTTTCTATTTAAAAAAAAAAAAAATGTCAGACACCGAGGCAAGTGTAGCACATGCGTATCACGGTGTCACATTGCATTTTATATTTAACCCTTTCCTGACAGATGATAAACCAAGACTGGTCCATATATGTGTATACTGCAGGCTGCAGAATGATCAGGATGTACAACTCTACCAGAGAAAACTGGGACATGATGCTCTAGATTGGCTTGCTATATCCTGCTCCGTGTGCGTGTGTTTGTTTGCACGTGTGTGTGAAAAAGAAGAGAAAAAATAAAAACAAATGGGAAGGCTACAATTTTAACTAGCTAATAATATTTTCCTGCGATTTATACATTTACTAAAAAAATAGCAGTGAAACTGCTTCCAGAAGTATTAATGCAGCTAAAGCATTATTTGTTACATTTTAATAGCATATATTTTATATAATCATTAGGGTTAATATTACACAATATATTATACAGTTTTGAATTGATCATTTCTTATGCAGAGAAGAAACTACAGACATTATGGAAGGTGTAGGCTAAATAACATCCCAATTCCAATATAGCCCACATTATCTTGAGCGCTAGAATTTACTGTTCCCGACCTTGGCGCATTGTGAGTTATTAGGTTCTTATGGTTATACTATCTAACTCTATATTCAGTGGCGGACATTAGATAGCAGTAGGAAATTGACACAAGTATTTTTCTTACTTTCCGTAACATAATATTCTTTCTGTCTTTGTTGTTAAAATGTTTTTGGAAAACTCTTGAGTCATTTGATAGCGGACTATTTCATACTGCAGATTTTCTCTGTCTTGTGCCTTTTATTGCAATTGTTAAAAGTCTGTTCATTCATCAGGTCTAATATCACTTACATCTTCACTCCCCATTCTAAAGCTGTAAGAAGAGAACAGCTTTCATGAAAGGGGTATAAAAAAATTAAAAAGACACTCTAGTCACCAAAACAACATTAGCTTAATGAAGCAGTTTTGGTGTAGAAATCATATCCCTGCAGTCTCACTGCTCAATTCTCTGCCATTTAGGAGTTAAATCACTTTGTTTATGAACCCTAGTCACACCTCCCTGCATGTGACTTGCACAGCCTTCCATAAACACTTCCTGTAAAGAGAGCCCTATTTAGGCTTTCTTTATTGCAAGTTCTGATTTTCTTATCCCTGCTATGTTAATAGCTTGCTAGACCCTGCAAGAGCCTCCTGTATGTGATTAAAGTTCAATTTACAGAGAAAGAGATACAATTGTTTAAGGTAAATTACATCTGATTGAAACTGAAACCAGTTTTTTTCATGCAGGCTGTGTCAATCAGAGCCAGGGGAGGTGTGACAAGGGCTGCATAAACAGAAACAAAGTGATTTAACTCCTAAATGGCAGATAATTGAGCATTGAGACTGCAGGGGCATGATCTATACACGAAAACTGCTTCATTAAGCTAAAGTTGTTTAGGTGACTATAGTTTTCCTTTAATGGATGAGTAATCATTCAAAAGGCAAAGAAGAAGACAGGTTCGCTTTTTTTTAATCGCCAAATTGTGTCATACAACGGCGTCTGAAAAGTACACTTGAAAAAAACAAAAACAGGTAAGTCCAGTTCTTTTTTCAGTGATGAAATGGTTCACAATTTGGTTTTGATTCAATATGTATTATATTTACAGAAGTGTGTTGGGTTTATTTAAAAACCCGATTACCTAATGGCTTTTGCCATTTTTATTAAAGGGTTACTCCAAACATCATAACCACTACATTCTGTTATAGTGGTCTTGATGTCTGGAGTACACAGGCCTGGTACACCAGTAATGCTAAACAGTTTTCCCCTTAACTGGATTTCTGCCCAGATCCAATGCTTCCTGGTGGTCCAATGGTGGTCCTGACAGTGGTGCTATCAGTCAATGTCTGTCATTCTGTTAAAATATTTCTGAAGGGAATTGAAATAATGACTTTTGGAAATGTATAATAAATAATTTGATAATTTACGAGAAAACTTGGAACGCTGGTTTGTTAGAAGGCCATATTGATCAACGGGTGAACTATACCACAGCAGTAAGTGCCACGCTATTTGGACTGCACAATGATTATGCGCGGTAGCTGCAGGATTTAATATGATATTGCTTAAAAATTGCAAAAGGTAAATTAGGTACCACAAATGTCACTATTCTGTGTGGGTTTTTTCAGGCAGAAAATGTAACTTTTATTTTTTATATTAATTAGAAAATGTTTAATTGTGTTGATTTACAGCTTGCACTTAAAACATGATATTTACTAGCATGCAATGAAATATTTCATGGTTGGTTATACATTTGTAGATTTAGAACCTCTCAACGTACTATGACATCACACACCATAGAGGTATCTGGAGGTTCTAGAACCCCATGGTGTGGTGATCACTGTTCAGTATTATTACATTTGCAAACATTAGTCCATTCTCTAGCAAACTAAATCTTGTAGTGCTCCTGCTTGTTGGTAAAAGCTATCATGGCGCGCGTTGTATATCCTCGGTTAATGGTCCCTGGGTGTTACATAAATTCAACTCAAATTTATGAAGCAACAACTCAGTCACACTCTCGAGTTGATGAGCTGCGTAGGATCAGAGACAACCCATTTCGTCTCAGGAGGAAGTTCTCCATGGTAAGTAAACAGAAGCTCCATGTGACAAAGGAGTAAGGGCGTTTGTTGTTTCTTTCTTGATGAATTCTGTAGATAAATTGTTTGAAAACATTTATTTTGTAACATATAGTAATAATTTCTGATTCAAACACATTTAATCAAGGCCTTAATAGGGACATAAATAATAATGTTCTGGCTTTAGATAGATCACTAACACTAATAAAAAAAAGCCACCTGTTCCCCTATGGGGATCACCTAGTTTTTAGACTCTAAAGACGAACTCTAATCTAGTTGTGTGATGATCTTAATTTTTTTTTTTTTTTTCATGTTTAATATTTTACTTTTATTGTTATAAAAAAAAAAAAAAAACATGATACAATACATTAGACATAAACACATTAAATATTACATTATTCAGATTTTATTAACATCCCTAACAGGGATCTCTAGTTGTATATATTAGTACAGTGTCTAGGTCTGATTCATATAGGGAGAAAACTGTTTATTTTTCTATTCATAATATAACACACGAAAAGACACCTAACAATATTTCCAGCGAAGAGGATAGGGGAACCAGGATACATTTCTAATATCCTTTTAAATTCTTTTAGACAATAAAATACCTTTACATTAATGTAAGCAGGGTTGCTTCATTCCTATCTTATAGAATATATTTGATATAAGCTTTAAAGTTGCTGTATCATACCGAGCCATTCTTTCATCTTATTTGATTCTTTAACAATACCTATCTCCATTTTTATCTGATAAATCACGTGTACTTTAACTTCCTCCCAGACTGGAACTTTAAAAAGATTTCCAGTTTCTGGCAATTAGTACTTTAGCTGCTAGCAAAATATGTATTACCAACGTAGCATATTGGCCAAAATTCTGGATTATATATTGGATCTTAATTGAATGATTTAAAAACTTCCTCACTACTCTGTTGTATTGACGTGGCCACCTGATCGATTTTATATGTAGAACATCTTTGATATTATAAGGATGACATGGTGATGTTATGATAAAAAAAAAAAACTATTGTGAATATAAGCAATAAGTTATCTTTTTCAGAGTCCCAGATTTGAATCTATACCAGAACATCCTGATGAGGACGTGAAAAGCCCTATGTGTGTTGCAGAAAAGAAATACCTGTCTAAACTGAATCCTTCATCCTCCAAACATTCTGCAACCTCCAAGCCTGGAGCAGACCCAGAAATTAAAAAGAGATTCTAATAAGGCAATTCCCATGGAGGACCTCCGCAGCTCCAGCACGGACGATAATACATTCTAATAACATTAAATCAGATTTATATTGGTGTTAAATTCCAGTGATCTACATTCAAATACAGCATTGATTTATCTGCAAAATATTTATATTTGCATTTATTTTATTACGTATAGGACAGTCTATGAAAGTAATGGAGGGCAGAATGATGGGAAGTGATGGGTGGCACAGAGGGGAAGGAGCGATTGAGTATCCCAGACACACATTCCAATCAACAGTCCTCATAGTGTTAGAATGTGCCCCCTGGCCAGTCACAAAGTCAACCTGGTCTGAATGCACCATACTAGGAATATAATGCTTCAGTTTGTCATCAGAATTTTTGAGAAACATTTTATGTCCATATTCTAGAAGGAACTAGGCAAATAGTTCCCACAGTTAGTTGGATAATTTCTGCTTTTTGTATTAATGTAATTGTAGCAGTTGAAGTCTGGGGAGGATTGTTGGCTATCCCAGGAATAGCACTGAAGGCTTTTGAGAAGTGGGGGACGAATATATCAAAGAAAGGTTTATAGCATTTTAATGTAAACCCGCCAGGTCCAGGACTCTTTGGACACTTTCAAGGCTGCTTCAGTTCTTCCAACATGAGGGGCTTGTCTTTATGGTTAATGGAACCTTCAGGTGGGATGGAGCACAGGTGCTCTGAGACATAATATGCAATTTCATCAGTTAAATATCTATTTGGCCAAGGTGACCACATTTTTCCCCATGTAAGATCTCAATTTAATATCTTTCAATATATGAGCCAGGAGACGGCTGCTTATATTGCCAAAGAAATACAGGATTATTCACTAAAGTGAGAATTCAAAGTGAATTTCAAATTTAAGACCAAGATAATTTTTCCATTTCAACTGTTTTAACTTAAATGTAAAAGTTACGTTGAATTCTCACTTTAGTGAATAATCATGATGGTATGTTGGTTTACTTTGAACATTATGCCTTGTACTTTCAGATTTAGTAAAGGAGCAATCTTAGTTGTAAGAAATATGACTTATTAGAGAGTAGTATCAGACACATCAGCCTTGTGAGCTGTTTCCAGTTCAGAAGGTCCAAAATCTCAATTCAAAAATGTATGGTCCATAAAGAGTATAGGCAGGAGGTAGGCCAAACCCCACTCTGTAGTTTAGACAGTAGACAATGGTCCAGGCACTTAAGGTGTTGCCAAAAACACAGGTTTATTCTGAAAGTGTACAGGCAACATTTTTAAGCTTGAAAAAGACCTTTTGGGGTTAAAACGACTGTAAACGCTCGCAATAAACCTGCATTGTTGGTTACAACTTAAGTGCCTGGACCATTGTCTACTAGCATAAGAAGTATGCTAAACCTTACCATTGGAGGTGTCTACTATGGGAATTAGAGAAACATTCAGGTCACCTTCAAAAATTAAGATTTTTCCATAAAACTGCATAAACTACAAAGCACACAGTAACAGAAAAGAAATCTGGTTTATAGTATGAGCATAAACATTAGCATTCATAAAAAGGAAACTACATATTTTACCTTTAACAAAAACATTATGGCCTTCAGTGTCTGACAAAGGTGCACAGAGCCAGTGAACAGAATGGACACTCCTTTTGTTTTGAAGGTGGATGAGAATAGCTGTGTGTAAAATATCTGTTTTTTAAGGTGGACATTGTCTATGGTGTTTATACCTTAGCATTAAGCATAGTTTCCTGAATGTTATCATACCTTTCAGCCATTATCTTGCAGATGAAAAGGATATTTGTGGAGAATACTCAGGGAAAAAGAAGGCAAAACAAACAAAACAAAAACACGAAGTATAAAAAAAAGAAACAGAAAGAAAATATACAGTATAATAGAGAAAATTTATGACAAACTTACCGTAATTTTCTTTTCCTGGCTATTTCTCATGGCAGCATCACTTATGGGTAGCTCCTCCCTTAGCAGTCACAGGACAGGAATTAATTAGATTAATTAATCTGACTCATAGGTATAAGGAGTCCCTCCTCCCCCTACACCTTAGTCCAATTATAAAGCTGAAATAAAAGAACGGGCGGGAACCCTGATGATGCCATGAGAAATAGCCAGGAAAAGAAAATTACGGTAAGTTTGTCATAAATTTTCTCTATTCCTGGCTAATCATGGCAGCATCACTTATGGGTAATATCCACGCTTCACAGAAATATAGGGTGGGAATAATAATCCAAGAAATTACACCAAACTGAATCACATGCAGCAAAGAAAAGTTTAATATCAACGGGATAAAGAAACCATAGACAGGACACTCTTCCCAATGGAGGTGAAAGGAGAATCCACATCTAGTTTGTAGTGCTTCATGAATGTCATCGGAGAAGACCAGGTGGCTGCTCTGCAAATATCATCGTATGGAACCTCTGCCCAGCTAGCCCATGAAGTTGATAATGCTCTAGTAGAATGAGTTCTTATCTCCCGTGGGGGTGATATACCGTTAGAGATATACACCTTCTTAATTATCAGAGAAATCCAACGTAGATAAAGAAGCCGCCTCACCTCTCCTTGCTCCCAACGGCAAAACGAAGAGTTGGTCCGTTTTACGGAAAGACTCAGAACGTTTAAGATATGCAGACAAGCAGTTCACGACATCCAAACGTTGCCATCTAACCTCCTCCTGAGAAGAGGGGTTGGGGTAAAATGATGGAAGAACCACTTCTTGAGAGAGGTGAAACTGAGAAACCACCTTAGGAAGAAACTCTGGTTTTGGTTTCAGACACACCCTATCTTGGTAGAATCGTAAACAAGAAGATGATGTAGAAAATGCCTTAATCTCTGAAATCCGTCTTGCGGAAGTAATTGCCACCAAAAACAAAGTTTTATACGTCAGGAGAGTAGCATCCAAACTTTCAAGAGGAACAAACAGATCCTCAGTGAGATAATTGAGCACCAGAGGAAGGTCCCAAGGAGGGGTAGTAGATCTGGAAGGAGGCCTCAACCTGAAGGCCGCTTTGAAGAACCTGGAAATCAAAGGATCCAAAGCCCATGAGATGTTGCACAAAGCTGAAAGTGCAGAAGACTGAACCTTCAGGGTGCTGAGGCTAAGGCCCTTGTCCAGGCCCTCTTGCAGAAACTCCAAAACTTCAGTATTGCTAGGATGCTGAAAGTCCACATTATTAGACGAAGCCCATGCTTGGAACACATCCCAGATCCTATGGTAGCATGAGGAAGTGGAAGCCTTCCTGGAGAGCAGAAGGGTATTGATCACTGCCTCTGAGAGACCTAGTAATTGGAGTCTTTCTTTCTCAAGACCCATACCCCCAGGATGAGGATGGAAAACAGGGCCCTGCATGAGCAGATCCTCCATCACTGGAAGAGGCCAAGGTTGTTCCTGGCTCATCCTGGCCAATAGGGGAAACGACGGCCTCCGAGGCCAAATCGGAATTATGGCAATTACTTTTTTGCCTTCCGACCAAACCTTCTGCAGGAACCTGGGAATCATGGGTAGGGGAGGGAAAGCATACCCCAGATCGAACGACCAAGGCAGAGAGAGAGCATCCTGGCCCAGTGCCTGACAGTCCGGGTGGAGAGAGAAGTAATTCTCCACCTGATGATTCTGAGATGATGCCATCAGGTCGATCTGGGGCATGCCCCACCGATGTGCAATTTCTGCAAAGATCGCCGGGTGAAGTTGCCATTCTCCCGGAAGAATTTCCTTTCTGCTGAGGAAGTCTGCCGTTACGTTCTCCGAACCTGGGAGATAAATCGCCTTCAGGCCTTGAAGATAGGTCATGGCTATAGCCATTAAGGGAGCCAGCTCTTCCAGGAGCAACCTGCTCCTCGTGCCACCTTGGTTGTTCACATATGAGGCCACCGCTCTGTTGTCTGTCTTGATTTGAACCCAAGAATTCCTTACTCTTGGCAGGAATCTCAAAATGGCCTTGTAAACCGCTCTCAGTTCCCTTAAGTTTGACTGTAGGCGACTCTCTTCTCGGGACCACTTCCCTTGAGTCCATATAGAACTGAAGTGGGCACCCCATCCAAAAGAACTGGCATCTGTCGTAATAACCTTCCAAGGGGGATCTTCCAACGGGAAGCCTGTTGTCAAATTCCTCTCGCTCTTCCACCAGTTTAAGCCTTTCCTTACAGGGAGGGGAAGAGATATCATCTGTTCCCAATCCGCTTCCACTCTGTCGAACTGGAGAAGGAAGCAGTTCTGGACCGGACGGAACTTCCACTGGGCCCACTTCACCAACCCTATTGTTGATGTCAAGGAACCCAGGAGACTCATGACTTCTCTTGCAGGTGCAGTTTCAAGAACTTGCAGCTTCCTTACTTTGTCTCTGATTTTCGTGACCCTTTCTGGAGACAGGAACACATGTGCAGACACTGTATTCACCGCTGCACCCAGGAAAATTATGGTTTGCGCAGGAACGAGGGAGCTCTTTTCTACGTTCAGAAGTCATCCATGGTCTTGAAGAATGGACATTGCCACTGACGTATGCTGAGCTACAATTCCTTGAGATGGACCCAAGATAAGAATGTCGTCCAAATAATGGAAGATCTCGATACCCTTTTCCCTTATAAAGGCTATTAAGGTGACCAGAACTTTTGAGAACGTTCTTGGAGCCAGGCTGAGGCCAAACGGTAGTCCCTGGAACTGGAAGTGCCTTCCTAGCGCCCAAAACCTGAGAAACTGTATGTGATCTTGATGTATCGGGATATGATAGTAAGCGTCCCTTAAGTCTATTGAGGTCATCCAGTCTCCCTTTTTGACACACTTCAAGATGGTCCTCAAGCATTCCATTTTGAACGTCCTTACGTTGAGCAAGGAGTTTACGCCTTTTAAATTCAAAATGAGACGCCACTTTCCCTGTGGTTTTGGGGCCAAGAACACTGTGGAGTAAATTCCCCGGAACCTTTCCCGTTTTGGAACTTCTTCCACCACTTTTTGTTCCAGGAGTACAGAAATGCAGGACCTCATGGCCCTTCGTTTGATGCCTACCGACACCTTTGATTTTCGGAAGAATGCAGTTTTCGGGTAAGATGACAATTCTATTTTGTAACCTTCCTTTATGATGGAAGTGACCCATAGGTCCGAAATATTGCTGGCCCATACAGGGTAGAAGAACTTCAGTCTTCCTCCCACCGTCCCCGAACGGGCCTGTAGACCTTCAGAAGTTCTTCCCTGGGATCCTAGCACCCCTTCCTCTGGAAGGCTTATTGGAAGATGAATGCGAGAAGGACTTCCATGAAGAATTCCTAGAAAATTCCCTTCCAGGTTTATAGCTCCTGCTGTCCCAAAAGGACCTATCTTTGAAGCGCTTGGTCTTCCAGGAGGGAGGAAAACTCTTCCTGCCGGCTTGAGGTAAAAACGCCTTTTTCCCATCAGCAGCTTTTTGAATAGCATCTTCCAGAATATTCACAAAAAGGAGATCCCCTTGGAACGGAAGTGCACACAGGGAAGCCTTAGAAGCATAATCAGCACCCCACGAATTAAGCCACAGAGCCCTTCTAGAAGCCACAGATAGGGCCATGCTTTTGGCAATCATGCGAGTGATGTCCAGGGAGTCTTCTGAACAGAATTCCGTGGCCAGACTAAAGTCCTTGAGGCTCTCCAACAGATGTTCCCTGCGGACACCCTGATCAATGTCCTCCCTCAGATTAGCGAGCCACACTTTCAAGGCTCTGGAGAGAGTAATTAGTGCCACTGCCGGATGAAGGGCGGACCCTAGGGCCAAGTAGGTTTTAATCAGGTCTCCATCCATACGCTTCTCCATAGGCTCTCTTAGATATGCCATGGAGTCAATAGGCAGTGTCGTTTTCTTAGCCATATGGATCACTGCAGCGTCAATTTTAGGAGTTCCACAGGCAGCAGTCCACTGAAGAGTACGGATAAACCCTCGTGAACTTATTTTTTTAAGGTGGACTTCTTTTCCGGCTTATTCCATTCCTGAAGGATCATATCCCTGATTGATGTATGCACCGGGAAAGTCGGTCTGTTAGGTTTTAGGTCCTCAAAGAACCTGTCAGCCTCTTTTAATTCAGACCTTTCTTCAATGAGACTAAGAGTGTCTCTGAGAAGGGTAATAAGTCTATCAACAGACCTGGAGTCAAGAGACCTGGAGGTATATTCAGTTTCCTCCTCACCTTCATCCGAGACCTCCCACACATCAGGGTCTTCATCAGAGCTGGAAGACTGAAGTTCCGCTCTGCGTCTCTTACTCTGACCACTAGATCCCGTGGTAACCTTAAAGCCCTCAGCAATAGCTTGGGAAATCCAGAGTTTAAGGTTGTCCTGTGGAGAACCCCTACCGGGGGCGTCTGCGACTTCCAACAAGCAATCCCTGCAAAGGTTCCTTCCATTCGGAGCAGGCGATGAACAATTAATGCATTTATTTGACTTTTCCCGTGATTTTCTTGCTGGAGAATCCAAATGAATGCTGGGACTGGAATAAAGCCATATATGACATATATTACAGGCTTAGTATGGCACTCTTAACAACCCCCCATAAATTTAATAAATGGCTCACCTATGTTTTCTAGAGAGGGATCTTGCAGAGGCAGAGGGAGAATCCATACTAATTTCACAAATGGATAAGAGGCAAGCTGATGAAAGCAAACTTCTAATCAGTAAAAAATAGAAATCCTACCTTAAAGAAGAAGAGTTCCACCAAGCAGCCAGGTAACAGGAGAAGCAGTGGTAAGAAATCAATTCCCTGGGGGAACACAACTGTAGGACTGCAGATACAGCACAAGAAAGCTGTATCTGAGGCTTTAAATAGGACCGGGCACTGAAACAGCTGATTGCCCGGTCCACGCATGCGCAGAGCGATGGAACGCACTCCATGCGTTCCAAACGCTCGCGGCCGGCGTGCAATTCACTTCCGGTTTCACAGAAACCGGCCGCGAGCGTCATACAGTGGGCTGGAACGCAGAATGCGTTCCAGCTCCCAACGGCCGGACGCCCAAGGAGCCCCAGAGAGCAGGAAGTCTTTTAGACAGGAACACCCAGACGGCCAGTTAAAGGTACCAAACCACACAAGCCTAAGTATGGATTCAAAGGCTGCCATCCAAGCATGGGGTGGGATAAATGGCCCCAATTAGTAGGGGCAGGTTAAAACCAGGGGAATTTTTAAGGCTAAACCAACCCCACAAACAAACATAACAGTGTTTCCCTCAAACACTTACTTCCCACGCTGCAGTTCAGTACTTACACTGAACCTGATCCAGTTAGTCCTGTTCATGCAGGCTGTTTACTGGACCCTTCAAATGAAGAGAGGCTGAACTTCATTTGGAACGAACACACGACAAACGCAGGAAGGTGGCCATAAAATAAAATGTAAAAAAGTCCTGTAGAACTTGCTAAGGACAGGAAAAAAGACTGAGGTGTAGGGGGAGGAGGGACTCCTTATACCTATCAGTCTGATTAATTAATCTAATTAATTCCTGTCCTGTGACTGCTAAGGGAGGAGCTACCCATAAGTGATGCTGCCATGATTAGCCAGGAAATGTATATTCATATAGTCCACCTGGACTATAAAATGGTATGTTCAGTTACAGGATATAAAATAAAATTAGGCAAACTATTAAACACAGGTGGAACAGTGAGCCAACACGGAAGGAGGGATTCTTACAGACACAAACCCAATCACACCTGTAGATTAGAAGGACTAAATCCAATGGAGTGGAGTTATTGCTCAGTCTGACAAAAAATTAAGAGAGTCACTCGTCATTTTGAGAAAATTGATGGAAAAATTCTCCAACATCCTCAGAGTGCCAGAACATAATAAGCATGAGATTACGTTTAATTAATCCCAGATCAGAAGAAAATGTTATTCTCTTTAAAATTTACAGGGAAGTTAATGGGCATAGGCAAAATCTGTGTGTGTATATCTTAATCTTCATTTATGATTGTAAAACATACTTCACGCTAAACAAGAGAGGGAAGTCCAGTATTAGAGATAAGGCTAAATTTCACTACAAACAGGGTAAACGCGGACAGCATATGCATACAGTTGCAAGAAAATGTATGTGAACCCTTTGGCAGGGCCAGATTAACAGCTCAGTGGGCCTGGTGCTGACAATTATGACTGGCCTAATTACAGAATCATATCGACCAAAAACACTAAAACACTCCCAAGTGTCATGTATCTGATGGAGATGGTGCTGGAGAGAAAGAAAACAGCAGCTACAAGAAATCTCCCTCTAATTTATGCTTTCATCTTTCAAGTAAATCCATAACCCCTAACAGCAGTGTCCAGTCAAGCAGGAAGTCAATGGGCACGGTAAAAGGGTGTGCCACTGACACAAATCACGTAACCTGCCAAAAGGGGTGAACATACCCAAAAAGAGGACATGTCTGCCCAAAGAATTAGAAGGCCAGCCTGGCATGAATGCATGTCAGACTGCCTGCCAATCATGCAGCTGGCCAACTAAGGGCATACTATGCAGACAGCACCCTGAGCTTGGCATAAATGCATCTAATGAAGGACTGTCCCCTAGCACTCGCTGGTCCACTTGTCTCCTTACCTTCTTACTAGCAGGCAGACGCTCCTGGTATATAGTCTGGAACAGAGAAAAGCTGTATGTAGTGAGTGTAGAAGAAAGGGAAGATGCCACAGTGTTAGACAGACCAAAGTCAGCATTACCTTAAAGGATCACTATAGGGTCAGGAACACAAACATGAATTCCTGTCCCTATAGTGTTAACACCACCATCTAACCCCCCTGGGCCCCTCATGCCTCCATAAATATAGTAAAACTCTTACTGTATTCAAGCCTGAAGCTGTAACTCTGCATGCTGTTAGACTCAGAAAAACAAGCAGTCTGCTGACATCATTAGAAGTGGTGGCCTGATCCAATCACAGTGCTTCCCCATAGGATTGGTGGAGACTGACAAAACGGCAGAACAGGGGCAGAGTCAGCATGATTCAAACACAGCCCTGGCCAATCAGCATCTCCTCATGGCTGCTTGAATTGAATAAATTAATCTCTATGAGGAAAGTTCAGTGTCTGCATGCAGAGGGAGGAGACACTGAATGTTTGGATGCATTTTAGGCAGCCATGACCCAGGAAGGATCTCTAACAGCCATCTAAGGAGTGGCCAGTGAAGTTATCACTAGGCTGTAATGTAAAGACTGCATTTTCTCTGAAAAGACAGTGTTTACAGCAAAAAGCCTGAAGGTAATGATTCTACTAACCAGAACAAATTCAATAAGCTGTAGTTGTTCTTGTGACTATAGTGTCCCTTTAACTATATTCATTGTTAGCCAGTCCACACAAGTTTTGTTCCCATACATTCCTCTTAAGTTTCCATATTTAAGTAAGAGTATGTGAAAAGTAGTTAGGGTTGCCACCTTTCTTGGAAAAACATACTGGCCTTACTAATTTGCATAATTAAATATGTATGGGTGATATCACATGATGTAAATCACAAGGAGTGACATAAGAGAAAATGCTGTAAAATCACCAAAAAACTACTTAGTTTGATTATGCTGTATAGATGGATTCCTCCCAGTGCCCCCATGTGTCAATTACTCCAGGTCTCAGCGTTCCTATGTATCAGTGTCTCAGTGCCCCATGCCTCCCAGTGTCCCCTAGTGTCGTGTCCCCAGGTCTCCCAGTGACCCTATGTATCACAGTGTCCCTATGTATCACAGTGTCTCAATGCCCCATGTCTCCCTGTGTCCTCCAGTATTCCCATGTGTCTATGTCCCCATGTATGTGTCACTAGGACACTAGGAAGACGGGGAGACCTAGGGACACAGAGACACCAGTGACACTGGGAAAATAGGGGACACTTGAAGACATGGGGACACAAACAATAGAGACACTGACTGGGGGACATGGGGACATTGAGACATGGGGGCACTGGGAGACATGGGGACACTGAGACACCAGGGCCACAGACACTAGGGACACTAGCTTGGAGACATGGGGACATTGAGACATTTGAGGCACTGGGAGACATGGAGGCACTAGGAGACATGGGGACAGTGAGAAACTGGGAGACTAGGGGGCACTGAGACACCAGGGACACTGGCTGGGAGACATGGGGACACTGGAAGACATGGGGACACTGTGTCCCCATGTGTCTGTGTCATAATGTCTTCCAATGTCCCTTAGTGTCTCAGTGTCTGTCATAATGTCTCCCAGTGTCCCTTAGTGTCTCAGTGTATGTCTCCTTGCAGCCTTTCCCCCATCCCTTACTTCCCTGAGCTGTAGGCTGTCTCTGCAGGGTGGGAGTTGCTGTCTGGACTCTCTGTAACTGCAGCCCAGCAGATCAGTGAGTATAGATAGGCAGGGAGGGATATGCTGGAACTTCCTATCCCTGCCTGTCTCCACACACAGTGACCCCTACTGGCCAGTGCTGGTATTGCATAGTAATCTCTTGTTTATACTGAGAAAAATACCAGCATTTGTATTGCCGGTATCACTGCAATATTGGCACAAGCCAGGCAGCCTCAAATACTGGCTGTGCCAATAAAATAAAAGCCAGGTGGAATCCCTAAGAGTAGTGTTTTTTTTTTTTTTTTTAAATCAATGGGCCTATTCCATGGGCCTGGGCCTGGGCCTGGAGCTGCAGCTCCATCAGCCCCTATGTTAATCCGGCCCTACCCTTTGGAATGATATGGATTTCTGCACAAATTGGTCATAAAATGTGATCTGATCATCATCTAAGTCACAACAATAGACAATCACAGTCTGCTTAAACTAATAACACACAAAGAATGAAATTAGTCTAGGGATTCACATACTTTTTCCACCTGCACTGTGAATGTTTACATGGTGTGTTCAATAAAAACATGGCAACATTTCATTCAAGCACCAATCTCCCGAACTGCAAACCCACGAATTCACCAACTCCCGAACTGCAACCAAGGGAATACTCGAAACTCCCGAACTGCATACCAAGGGGCACTCCAAACTCCCGAACTGGAGACACATGAATAGCTGCTAGCAGACGAAGAGGAAAAGCCCCCAAGCGGCTTACACTCCTGGCAATCAGTCTCTAACAGCATACAGTAAATCCTCCCCCAATAATGAGACGACACTGCACTTTGAGGGTTAAGCAGGAACTGCTTTACTGGGGCTAACTGCCTGGCCTTTATGCAGGTCTCCCACCTGGTGGACACTCCCCTAGGGGACCAAATGGGAGACTGGGACACAAAGGGTAAAAGGACCAATCACAGACTTACACATTTCAACCATCCCACAATGCATCACAATCCCTCCTCTCTGCCCTGGAGATAATTGGGAAGTAATTCAATTATCTCCAAAGACAGAGGCAAAACTCCATTAACCACATGGCAGAAAACAAACAGTAAAAGACATAAAATTATCTACAGTTACATTCAGTAAATAAAACATATACGTTCTACATATCCCCAGATAGCTCAGATCTGAGCACACATTATTACCGAATGGCGCTCAGATCACATACATACAGTTCAATCGCCATGGAGCCAAAGTCCTTCTTTTCGTTACATGAACAGGCTCCATGGCTTAGCTATCTGGGTGATGCTGTTCATCCGGTTAAACTACCGAATGAACAGTCATTCGGTTCCGCTCTCGTATGGGAAGGGAAGGAGGCTGGCGGCTTAGCGGTGTTCGTGCAATTAAGTGTCCGTTTTCAGTTCCATAGTTTAGGCGCTGAACACCTCTGGCCGTTCGGGAGGTAAAATGGCTGCTGCCACGTGTTCAGCAACTGAACAAAGGCCTCCCAGCGTTCATTAATTAAGCTGCGGTTAACCGCAGCTTCTGGGCGGTCAATTGACGGCACACTCCAGTTCCCAGGTGGTCCATCGTTCGGTAGTTTGTTCGGTAGATTGAATCTACCGAACACCCTGGCAGAAAGGCATGAATAAACCTTTCAGCAGGGAAAATAACAGGTCTGAACTGCAGGGCCATAATCTAAAGGGAGCAGGCGAGCAACCAGGCTTCTCCAGTGTACAGTGGCGAGGTTGGTTTTGCCACAGCTCTTAAAAAATATGGACTTTACATTATTGTGTTTTCAGTGTTAATTTGGTTCAGTCGGCAAGGCAGTGGGGTGGGAGAGTTTTTTTTATTTTTTTATTAGCCCAGTGCTCTCAGTTTATCTTTGTATCCAGGCTGAATGTAATTGATATCTAGAACAGGGGTGCCCAAAAGGTAGACCCCAGATGTTTTAAAACTACAGCTTCCATGATGCTTTGTCACTTAAAAGCATTCTGCAGACATGCAAAGCTTCATGGGAGTTGTAGTTCTATAACAACCAGAGATTTTCCTTTTGGGAACCCCTGTTCTAGATATCAATTACATTCATGGACTTTTAAATTTTGAATGATGAATGCTGCGGTAGAGGTGATGGGTGCTGAGCACAGCTGCACAGGAGCCAAACAGGAGCCATGAAGATACTTAGCTAACCCCTATACAAATAGTGAGGGAGAGTGAACAAGTAACCTTCCTCTGACCATTATGTTCCCTAATGGTTCTATGTTACACTTTGCCTCTGCGTTGTTGCAGTTTAACCTTGCTAATGTGGTTTATAAACTGCAATGATGAAACATATAAAGTGAGTAATTTACACAAATACCTTTATCAAACTTATATCAAAATTCTAAAAAATAAAAAAAACACTTCCAAAAATCACAAAATACACAGATATGTTGACAATACATTGGCACCTAATAGCACATACCAAAGCTGAACGCATATATTTAAAGTATCTGCCTATTTTGTAATTTTTGGGAAACTTATTTCTTGTATTTTTGATAGTCCTTTATTAAATAAAGTAATTTTTGTAAACTACCCACTTTATATGTTTCATAATGGGATTGCATAAACCACATTTTGTCATGGAAAGGTTATAATCGATAAGTTATTTATAAAATATTTTACCAGGATGTATACATTGTGATTTATCTCGTTTTCAAGTATGTCCTGGGTCTTTTCAAGTATGTCCTGGGTCATACTTGAAAATGAGATTACACTTAGCACAGTTTGTTTGGGTATTGGTTGCACATTTTGAGTACTTTATATCGGTATTATTCCAAATATTAGAGCCAAGTATTCACCATTATTTTTTATTACAAGCAACAGAATACGATCATTCTTCTCTTGGGCTTTTCACCTTACTAATGGCCCATAGTTTATATTATTGCCCTTTTCCGCCATCTAGTGTTTGCTGGTGATATAATTTGCTTGTAAACCCGTTATATAGAGGTTGTTTGCTAGTAAACCCATCAAGGACAGTATTTACACGGACAATATCCACCAGCTACTGTGATAAAATAAAAACCTTGACTTTCCAACAGACAAAAACAATGTCTTAATAGTAGTGGATTAAAGTATGCATTGCAGTGTAGTTTGCAAGGGGAACATATTTTTACACACAGAAAAGATAGGATAATTGAATGTTAAATACTTGGTAGCACAGCAGGGTCACATGTGCCACAAATAAGGTTGGCTATAGGCGGGAGAGTTCAATAACAGGACATTTGGGACAATAGATGGACAGCTGGGAGCACATGGAATAGCTGGTGCAGTGAGATTGGCAGGTAGACCAGGAACTAGTTACAAGAGTAACAATTGGGAATAAGGGGAGGGGGATATAAGAGGGCCACTTAAGAACACATGTCGCCTTGGAGTCTCAAGGAGACAGGCAGCTATACAAAAACTGAGACAATGGGAGAATATTTTTATTATGTGTGCTGCAGACAGACAATGTGAAGAACAAGATGGCCTAGTGCGTAGTGGAGGGATACTAGGAGCACAAGAGGAGCAGAAAAGGCCATAGGAGAGATATGCATATCACAAAGGGGATACGACACACGTGGTAGTGCACAGAGTATAGAAGGTACAAAGATAAAAAGAAAAATCAACATGTTTGTCAGAAAGGACAAGTGGGAAGATCAGGGGTCCTGTAAACCTCAAGTAGGCCCTTTCGGCCACAGGACTAAAAACATGGAAGACTGATTAGAGAACTAGACACATGTACTACTGCATTTTCATTGTAAAATATAAGTTTGCAAAAATGTTTTTATTGACGCTTTAAATAAAATAGCTAGCATTATGATCACTTGTGTAATTTGTGAAGAATGCATGGATGGATATGTCCTCATTAGAGAGCTTCACATAATGAACAATGTCAAGTTTAACATCAAAATGTAAACATTGTTTAACATGAAATATCACACAAGCAACGTATTGCTTTTAAAAAAATGACATACAAACTCGCACATTCCATTTTGGATTACAAAATTATAGGATTGCAGGCAAGTAGTTTTAAAACATATGAACAGAAGTATGTAATACACCTTAGAATTTAAAACATAAGTTGAAAGCAGTTTTGAGTTCCCTGATCATTTCTTAATCTACACCTCTTGGAGTGTGCTACAGATGAGATTCAGCACAACGTTACCCTGCGTAATGAACGCCATGAAATAGTTAGCACAGGGGAAACACATCCTTTGTCTAGATACGATCACACATGTCTGCTCTACACTAGTCCACAAGAGTGGAGGAGAGAAGAGCACAGACAGAAGGACAGACCAAGTAAAGATCCTACCACTTAAAATTACAAGACAAGTACATAGCATTGAACGTGTTTGAGGTCTTGACACGATATGACATCTTAAAGGGTTGCTCCAATTATCATAAGTATTACAGCCCTCTGTAGTGGTTATGTTGTGAGGAGTATCCTACTCCAGTTTCCCAGTAATGGGGCAAAGAACTCAGCAACAGTTTGACCCTTTCTCTGGATACCTGCCTGGCTTCCTGGTGGTCTAATGATGTGCTTCTCTAGTTCGGGGCTGGTTAATGGATACCTGTCAGGATCCTATCCTGACAAACAAGACTTTTGTTCAGTTTATTCTGTTCCTTTAAAACCAAGGTCCTGCACTGATTATATTTTACCACTAGTGACCTCCTTTGCCTCTAGTGGAAACTCACCTTATCATCCTTACCTGCCTGGACTAATTAAGGTCCTACAAAAGGTTACGCCCAACTCACCACATCGCCTTTAAATTGAAATTGTTGACTTACCTGAAACACTTCAGATCCTAGCTCCTGTGGACTTACCTTCTTGACTTCAAACCTGCTGCAGACTTGCCTGAACAACTCTGCTTTCCTGCTTTACTTACTCACCTGCTCCATACCAGCCTAAACAACTCTGCATTCCTGCTTGACTTCCAATCTGCACAATACCAACCTGAATTTCACAACTATTCAGCTTTATCCTGCCATCCTGATATACCTGCTTAATCCATACAACCTCTCTGCGCCATACCTGCCTGCATAACACTACTCTGGACTTTGCCTCAAAGTAATACCACATGGTGTTATTTTCCTGCTTGAGCAATACTCCTTCCAATAGGGGGCTTACTAACTAAAGTTCTCCTCCTTTTCCTGTAATCCTGCAACCTTATTGTTCTGTTTTATTTGTCCTTCTATTTTAACCTATACTTTTATCTATAGGTTTTCTTAGTATTTACTTATATTCCTGTTTATATTCTATTTAGGGCATATTGCCTAAATCCCTTTATTTCTGTTTTCTCTCTCTTGTTCCTATAATTTCAGTTATAGGTTATCCTTTTTTATTCTTTTATGTCCAAATCCAGCAATAAAGAACCTATTGTTAACTCTGGCCAAAGTCTCATATCTGACCTGCTCAGAATCATGACCATACCCCACGGGGCTGCTGGAGGTAGCATATGGGCTAAATTCCATATCTGCAGTTATTCGTAAACACTGCACATACTCCAGGCACCATGACCACTTCAAATTACTGTAGTGGTCATGGTGCTTAGAGTAACTCTTTAAACAACTATACTATAGTAACTGCTAGTGATGTCCCGAACTGTTCGCCGAACGGTTCGCCACGGACTCATCATCGAGTAAACTTTGACCCTGTACCTCACAGTCAGCAGACACATTCCAGCCAATCAGCAGCAGACCCTCCCTCCCACCTCCTGGACAGCATCCATTGTGAAGCTGCATTCTTAGTGAGCTGTCCAGGAGGTGGGAGGGTATGGGAGGGAGGGTCTTCTGCTGATTGGCTGGAATGTGTCTGCTGACTGTGAGGTACAGGGTCAAAGTTTACTCAATGATGAGTCCGTGGCGAACAGTTCGGGACATCACTAGTAACTGCATGTTAATTAGGATGTGATGTCCCTTTTTTAACACCATTAGATCGAGATTAAAATGACAACAAAAGACAGCAATGTATTAAAGGAACATTATAGTCACCTAAACAACTTTAGCTTAATGAAGCAGTTTTAGTGTGTAGATCATGCTTCTCGAGTTGTACTGCTCAATTATCTGCAATTTAGGAGTTAAATCACTTTGTTTCTGTTTATGCAGCCCTTGTCACACCTCCCCTGGCTCTGATTGACTCAACCTGCATGAAAAAAACTGGTTTCACTTTTAATCAGATGTAATTTACCTTAACCCCTTAAGGACACATGACATGTGTGACATGTCATGATTCCCTTTTATTCCTGAAGTTTGGTCCTTAAGGGGTTAAACAATTGTATCTCTTTCTCTGTAAATTGAACTTTAATTACAAAGAAGAGGCTCTTGCATGGTCTAGCAAGCTATTAACATAGCAGGGGATAAGAAAATCTAAATTAAACAGAACTTGCGATAATGGAAGGATAAACTGTAGATATTTCTTTACAGGACGTGTTTAGGAAGTCTCTGCAAGTCACATGCAGGGAGGTGTGACTAGGGGTCGAAAAAACAAAGTGACTAGGGGTCGAAAAAACTGCTTAATTAAGCTAAAGTTGTTTTGGTGACTATAGTGTCCCTTTAACGTGTAAAAAGCAACACTGAATGGCATCTTTAGGTTTAAACTATAAAATATACACTGTTTTATACAATCACAACAAATACATATTGCTTAGGTTTGTGGAAGAGATATATGTAAATTTTAAAGGGCCATTTAGGCAACAACTGAAAAACTGTAGTATTATTAAAGGTAATCTTTAGTCCAAAAATAAAAAAAGATTTTTAGGGACTTAAGCTTCTAGTCTATTGACGTGATCACTGTCCATCTCCTTTGCTGCTAAATATGTAAGTTAAATAATGATTACTTATCTCTTTAACAGCGCTGAGACTTCTCTTCTGCAGCCACCTGCTTCATCCCAGAAGACATCAGCATGGCTGCTAATATCTTCCACAATCTTGTCCAATCCAATGCTTCTCATAGAGAAGCATTGGATTCTAGATATGCATGCATGGCCAAGTTCTATGAGCAGCATTTGATTGCAGGACTAAGTTTCATTCGGTTCTGTATTTAAAAGCACCTCTAATGGCGATCTGGAAGGCAGTCACTAGAGGTGTATCTAACCCTGAAATGTTTTATATTGCAGGGTTAAAAAGCAGGACCACTGCACCCAGACCACTTCATTAAGAGATGTATACAGCGTTATATATTAAAGTGACACTATAGTCACCCAGACTACTTCAGCTCAATGAAGTGGTCTGGGTGCAATGTCCCTCAGGTTTTAACCCTTCAGATGCAAACATAGCAGTTTCAGAGAAGTGGTCTGGGTGCAATGTCCCTCAGGTTTTAACACTTCAGATGCAAACATAGCAGTTTCAGAGAAACTGCTATGTTTCCATTTGGGGTTAAACCAGCCTCTAGTGGCTGTCTTCTGGACAGCCATTAGAGGTGCATCTGTGACGCTGGAGGTATATTATATTATTATCATATTATTATTGAAAAATGCTTTCCTATTGACAGCTTGAATGCGGGCTTAAATGCGCGCGTGCATGGCACTTGCCGCGCATGCGCCTCAGCTGACGTCGGCAGATGGAGCTGACGTCGGCGGGGGAGGAGAGATCACCAGCGTTGAGGGAGCCCAGAGCTGGAATAAGGTAAGCTGCTGAAGGGGTTTTAACCCCTTCAGCGCCAAGGGAGGGGGACCCTGAGGGTGGGGGCACCCTCAAGGCACTATAGTGTCAAGAAAACCGTTATGTTTTCCTGACACTATAGTGATACTTTAAAGAAAACAAATGTATATTCATGACCCTATAGTGTTAAAAACACTATTTAGGTGGCCGGCCCCTCCTTGCCCCCTATAAATATAGTAAAAACTCACCTTTATTCTAGTGCCATGGGTGTCCGCCTGTGCTTGCTCTGCCCCAATCCGGCTGAGATCATCAATGCATCTCTATGGGGAAAGATCAGAGTCTCCATGTAGAGCGTGAACGTTGTGCAGCACTGAAGCAGGAAGTACCTCTAGTGGAAGTGTTCACTGGAGGAGGTAGAGGAGGTCACTGGACACTGGAGGTGTTCCTAGGGAGCAATGTAAACACTGTCTTTTCTCTGAGAATTCAAAGAGAGTTTCAAAATTTAGGCTAGCCGACTTAGAAAATACCCCAAGTCAAGTCTGTTTTTATTTTGGCTATCATGGCCTCAAATTTGGAATTCACACCAATTCTCACTTTTGAAAATAAGCTTGTCTCATTTGAAAAGAAATCCATTTCTAATATGTTTACAGCATCTTGAAATTGTGCATCCCCTATTACCTTTCTTGGAATGGTAAGCATGACACTTGGCTGCTCATTCCTAATCTGCATCATGGAGATAATTCTACTCGTTGAAAATGAGTTGGGAAATAAGGTTGTGTTGTAAGGCAGGCTGTAGTACTAGAATCTTCCTTTTTGCAAAGATTTTAAGCTGTGAAAGAGAAAAAGTGGTTAGCAACAAACAGAGGTGTAACTAGAAACCACAAAAAATTGCCTGGTGGCCCCCTTCTCGATATGTCTCATTCCCTCCTCCAGCCCCTCCATGTGTCTCATTTCCCCCCAAACAGTCATATTTCTTCCACTTAGTCCTACATGTCTCTCATTCCCCCAGGCCCTCCATGTCTCCCCTTCCTCCCCCGACAGCCCTTCCATGTCTCTCTTCCCCTCTCCTGCAGCCCCTCCATGTGTCTCTCTTCCCCCTCCCCTTCAACCCCTCCATGTGTCTCTCTTCCCCCTCCCCTGCAGCTGCTCCATGTGTCTCTCTCCCGCTCCCTTGCAGCCAGTCCATGTGGCTTGACCCCCTCCCCTGCACCCACTTCCCAGTGTCTCCTTTCCCTGATCTGCAGCCCCTCCATGTGTCTCTCTCCCCCTCCAGCCCCTCTGTGTCTCCCCCTCCCTAGCAGCCCCTCCATGTGTCATCCACCTCCTGCAGCCCTCCATGTGTCTACCTCCCTGCAGCCCCTCCATGTGTCTACTCCCTCTCCCTCCCTGCAGCCCCTCCATGTGTCTACTCCCCCTCCCTCCCTGCAGCCCCTCCATGTGCCTCCCCACTGCACACCCTCCATGTGTCTCTCTCCCCTCTCCCCTACAGCCCCCTCCATGTGTCTACCCCCAATTTCCTGCAGCCCCACCATTTGTCCTCACCCCCTTCCCTGCACCTGTTTGCCGCAGTTGCGGTACCCATCTGACAGGAAGTGTTCTCTCAGTGAGCACTTCCTGTCAGACCGCTTGGCCGCGCTACACATAGCAGCAGGAGCGGAGTAGCACATCGCTTTGCTCCTGCCGGTCAGTGTGTGACAGTGGGCCCAGGGCCTGTGCTGCGGTGCACCGGCCCTAAAGGCATGCCGGGAGACCACAGTCGCAGGGGTGGCAACGCAGGCCACAGGTCACAGATGCCTGGGTACAGATTATTTTTTGGTGCTCCGGTCAGGCATGGTCATCTTACTAACTCCTCTCCTTTAAAAATGCCTAGTCCAGACATATAACAGCTCCCTGTTATCATAGAAGGGATGGAACATGTGACTGGGTTCTTAAGTCACAATGGAGCCCTTCCCGGAAGTAGTGGATGGAGTGGTGCAGTCATTGCCATAGAAACATTTCTAGGCTGGACATTTGGAAAGGGGAGGCGTTAGTAAGGTGATCACGCCCACCTGGGCCGCCAAAAAACTAAATATCTGCAGCCAGGATTCTATGACCCTAGGTGCCTGTATGCGAGTCACAAATCATGGTCAGGCCCATCGGAGTTAAAATCCAGAGAACTGAGCAGTGAGACTGCAGGGGCATGATCTATACACCAAAACTGCTTCATTAAGCTAAAAGTTGTTTTGGTAACTATAATGCCCCTTTAAAGCTATTTTCAAACAGATGTCTTTTATTAAACCATTACCAGGACCTGCACAGGAATATTTTGACCCAGTTCGGGTGATTGTCAAGGCCCACTCACACCCTGTCACGATTTTATATCTCCCAATATTGGCAAGTATGCCCAGCTTTCTACCTCCCTTATTATTTACTTATGAACAACACAAAACAAAACAGATTTTTATCTGGACAAATGTTACATTTGTTTAATACCAAGTGAGATATATTCCCAGTAACTTTCTTTTTCCCCCAAATTTGGATGTTCATATATCACATGTTCTCAATAAAAGTTCCAGTTAGAAAAAACTGGGGGAGGCACATCCCCCACCCCCCTTAAATTCTTTTCTCCCTAGTGGAGTTGCTATGGCTAGTCCAACGAATGCCCGTCCGAAGTCTCCTCTTTGCCAGATACTTATTAACACACACACTGCCTAGGCTGTCATTTCCTCTTTTAGAAGTGGACAGAATTAGATTTGGATCGCCTTACACTGCAGAAAATCAACAGGACTACGCGCAAGGGAACAGATATTTTATCTGTGCAATCTCGAAGTTTAGAATGCCAGGTAAGCTTCGAGCACTGCTGTGTACATTTTGCAATCACAGAAATAAGCTATCAGCATTGACAGCGGCAAAACAAAGTAACGGAGTAGAAGAGGCCAATAATCACATGTCTAGAGCACAGACTCAATCGTATGTCATGCACTGTCTGCGTCAGTGTTTTTATTGTGTCCGCACATTTGAGCAGGGCCCTTATCACCCCTTGTTTGTCAAACTTGTTTATATCAATGACTTCTGTTTTGGTAACATATTGTAAAGTGCTGTGGAATATGTTTGCAAATTATTTCATAATAAAATAAAGATAGGGAAAAGTATTTAATAGTAATAGTTTTTTTGCAAAATTCTATAACTTTTTGAGCTTGAAAGAAAATTAGGCATATTAATGAGACCAACATTTAAATAATTTAATATAAACAAGCAAATGCATTAGTGTTGTATTTGTGCCCAGAGTGTCCATTTAAGCAAACCATACTCCGAATTAGCCGCAAATTAAGGCCTCTGTGAACTAATCTGAATTGGCACCAAACTACTCTAACATTGTATTGAGTCCTATCTGCTCTGGAATAAATTTCTGGATAATTCCCACACTAGTCACTCAAACCTGCAATATAAAGGAATGGGCTCATTATTTGTGCAAACAACCAACGGTAAAGTATTAACTAAAAATTTAAACAAGCAAACCAATAGCCTATTAATCCTTCCTCACCTAAGTAAGTGTATATATGTGTGTATATATGTGTGTGTGTGTGTGTGTATTATATATATATATATATATATATATATATAAAAAAAAAAAGAAATTTAAAAAAAGTGAGTCTGTGATGGAACCCTTGAAATTGCAGTAACAAAAAAAATAAAAGTAACACGGAGCCAGGCATATGGGTTACTGAGCAAAGTGGAAATATGTACAAAAGGAATGGTTAACCTTTGTAACCAGTACATGTTTCTCATCCAACCTTAATTATATCAACCTAGAAGTATGGCTGCCGAATCCATGGATATTTTTGCTTGTTGTTTTCACATTCTTATAGCATGAAAAGTTCTGATCTGAAGTATGAAGGATTTACGTAGAGCAGGAAGAATATCAATTAATCAAGAAGAAATGACAACATACTGTTGACTTGAGTAGTTAAAGCGGCATTGTCAAGCTGATCTTACCTTTCCCAATCGATCCCTCTTCTCTCCCTCTGCCAGGATCTGATCTTCATTTCTTCCTATCTGCTCTAGTTTTCATTAAAACCCAAGACAAAGTAGGGACTATTTGTCTTAGGGAGGCTTCCTACGCCTGACCAGCGGAGGAGCAAAGTGTGCTCCATTTCCTGTGGTCAGAGCGATTTTCCACAATTCTCACATTTTTTCCGTGATCTTCGATGCTTCCTGTCAGTATTCCCGAACATCTTGTCATTTTAGACAAAACGCCGGCGAAACTAACAGTTTCTCTATTTGTGTTAGGACGCAATTTGGGACTTTGTTTGGATCGGAATTTCATTCGAATGAATTAAATTCCTATCCAATTCATGCCATGGCTGCATCTAGATTCCCACGGTATCAGGGAGCTATCTACCAAAATGCTGAAAGACGTATCAGGGAGCTATGTACCACATTTACTAATACGAAGTAAAGATTACTTCGTATTAGTAACTTATGCCCCTACTCGCTATATTGCAAGTAGCGGCATGTATACTAAATAGTGAGCAGCCTGTGGTCCCCTCACACAAAAACAATAAAACTAAATACCTGTAAATAAAAAAATACTTACCATTTGATGTCTTTTTTTCAGCCCCAAAAAAGGCCAAATAAAAATCTATAATACCTGTTGGACATTAAAAATAAAAAACCTGAGCGCAAAAAATACCCCAAATAAAACAAAAGTTTTGGAGTATAGAGTTTTGGAGTATAGAGTGGCAATGTAAATACCAGAGGAATGGACAGTCCCCTTGTTACGGTCTAGAAAATTTCCTGTTAACTAGGAGTGGGACATGTTTAGGGCACGAGCCACAGTATACCGAGTAACAACCACACATTAATGATATTTGCAAATAGGGAGCTGTGTATCTGTTAAGTTGGACCAGGACGGGAGTCCAGAAAAACGAAGCAAAGGCTGGTACCTGGCACTGATGGCACCCAATGAGAATGGACCAAACTATGCTTGGCTTGACCCATCCAGACTGTATTGCCACTGTCAGGTAAGCGGTTGCTGACAGACAGGTGGAACAATTGTCTGCCTCTTTTTACTGCAATATGTTTGTGTTAAAGGAAAACCCTGTTGCCAAATGTGGTACCATCCAACCTGATAGGCTAAGAGTGTGGAGCTAACCCACCCACATTGCACAGAAGGATGATTAAATGAACCATAGGACTCTTTGGAGGGAGGGAGCTCTTTTTCAATGTGCAGAAGAACTTATTTTGTATTTTCCAGTCTTAGAAATGTTGTTCTTTTCTGCCATTGAGCATATGGTAAAGGAGAAACCAAAACAATCTAATCTGTTTTTTCTTCCTGCATTTTGTACCTTGGACTGACCAGGATTGTGATGTAATTGTGTTAAATATTGAATAAACCTTTTAAAAGAAAATGGAACATCACGTAAATATAAAAGGTTACACAAGTTAGACTAATTGGTG